AAGGCTTCAGACATAGAAAAACACCGATTTGAACATCAGAAGGAAGGTATCAGTAATTAGACAGCTTAGAACATTCACCACAGCACAAGCCAGAGAATTCAATTCAGTAACTGTATTCCCTTCACTAGATAAATTTAAGCATATACCAATTCGTAAATTATAAATGCTTACATTCAATTAAGCTTATAATTAATCCAAAAATAGACTTCCTTGAAGATTCTCAAATAAGACTTGAACTAAAATACTAGCTAGTTAGTACTTCACAGATAAGTACTTCGATATACTTTTCTTTAAAAAATAATTAGCATGTTAATAATCTTTAGTCTCTAAAATATATTTAAAAAGTATCAACCTTTTCCACTATGATGAGGTCTCCAACTTGTATGTCTGAACTCTTAACTTGCACTTTACCTTAAAAAAAAGAAGAAATTTAATCAACTTAAGCAGACATTAATAAAGAGTCACAAGAATATAAATCCCAGAATGCAAGTTATACTTAAAGACGTTATTGTTTGGTGAAAATGTTACAATTTATACAAAATGGATCTCTGATAAACACTTTAATAAACAGATTTCATCTGTCTTAATAAATTATTCACTGGTTAAAAAAAAAAGTCTAGTTTTCTAACCAGTTAGCTATTGTAGAAGCATTAGAGGAAAAAAGTATATATGGAAGATGCTCAAGTGTGATCTATAATATCAGTAACAGAGTCCTAAAATTGGAAAAAGGAGTCTTTCACATCTCCTACTAGACAGCACTTCCGACAAGTCAAGAGTTGTTAGGCTTACAGTCATGGAGCATTCTCACACACATGAGTTCTTAGTCACAGCCAGTTACCAACAGGTAGCTTTGCTTGGCCACTAAAGTTACTGATGTAATTGGCACCATCTTACACCTGTTGGCAATTATAGTGGAAAAGAGGTAAGTCTCTCTAAAGTCAGAAGAGATGCCTGAAGATTTAATTTTAGAAAATTACAATATCAAAGACTGAAATAGAGGTTTTTCATTCTCTAGAGCTGCCCATTTGGTAACTTCTGTGAACAACTCATTCAAAAATATACACAGCACACGTACCAATTTAATTCCTGTATGTTCTGTAGGGTATTAATATTTGTTAGACTTAAGTTTTAACATTCTTATTTGATAGACTGAAAAACTGAGACAGAGAGGTTAAGCTACTGCCCAAAATGAGTCATTGTTGAGCTCATTAGGATTCAGGAGTTCTAGTCCCAGGTCCTTGCTACAATTCCAGAAAAAGTTGCTTCCCTGAGTTAAAAAACAACCAAAAACCAAAACAACCTTGTAGACAAACAAGTCATGACATATGGATATCCTCTTCCAAGACATAACAGGTGATAAATTCAGAACCTGTTAACTCAGGATATAAACACATACATATTTACACAGCCTGACAAACTGAAACACACACAGCCATACGAAATATCTTTTCCCATCAGAAACACTATCATGATTCCAAGCAGCAGGTATCAGATGACAAGTATGTCAAAACATGGTGAGGCACTACGGTTCCAAATAAAAATCAGACTACAAATTAGAGCAGAAGACCCACAAAAGCACAGGATGAGCAGCAATCAGTTTGGAGTTTAATCGAAAGTATTATGAATAATAGATTTGGCAATGAGCATTTTATCATCGCTCAAAGTTATACGAAGTATAAAACAAAACTAAGCTAGGTTCCAAATCCGTGAGACTACCTCATCATAACTCTCAATGAAGAGAGATCAGGTAGTTAACTTCAAAAAATTCCTTATACTTACATATGCATTTAGTCATAGGTAGTAAGATTCATGTTATGAGTAACTATTTTCAGTACTTACTCTTTAAAATTGCATTTTATGCAAAAGTAACAGTTGGCTTATGTTTAATTCAGCCAATAATAAATGTATTCCTATAGCTAATTTTTAATACATTTTCCATTACATCAGCATTTCTAAAATGTGCAATGTCAGGGGAAAAATCAGAACTTTTGTTTGGCCTGTCTGCAAAGTTATTTCTGAAAGCCAGTCTTTGTTACTGATAATGATCCTTTACACCAGTTCAATCTGTCAGTTGCCAAACACACCATTCCCCCGCCCCCAAATATAAAACAAATTATACCTTCAACCTGACTCCTAAGTCTGCCATAACACATTTGTAAGGGTGAAGGGAGTAGCAGAAGACCAAGGTATAAAAAGCTGTAGCAAGAAACACTAATAGTTCTCTACAGGAGTTAAGATGCCTACGGAAATTAAGTTAGCATTAATCTCTCAAAAAAAAAATTTTTTAATCTAAACTATTACTAAAGCTCAACCACTAAAAGAACAGTGTGATACCAAATCAACACATTTAGTCTCCTTAACTGCACGAGCCTGTGAATTCTCTTTATAAATTCTCAAGTTTTGACTACAAGTGAATAGTATATACCAGGAAAACATCGTAATGTTTACTTTGCTTTCTAAGTCTGTTAGCTTTATCAAAAGGATAGCATTTCCTATTTTGTTTTCAATTCCTCCGCTAACAATTTTCATCAGTTTATCAGTGGGATAACCAAGTCAATCAACTGATTATAGTAATAACAGCCACAAAAATCCTAGTACCAGCTGCATTACGTCTCTGATCTATGCCACCTACACAGTCATGCATGACCAAAACCATTCAGAGATACTAATCAAATACAACTATTAGCAATTTTATCACCTTAAACAATTGAGTTTTCCACAGTCATGTTCTAACAGCATCTACAGCAAAGATCAAAAGACACGAAGCCTCAGAGGACAAAAGAAGGTAGAACGTTTATTTGCAGCATTATGTAGGGCAGACAAAAAGCAAAGACTCCTGGTGCCAAGTGTACCAACAGGAAGGGACACTGCACCTTTGCTTGTACTTGATCTACCAATCCTGGGAATTTCACATTATCAATTGAAACATTTCCTTATCACACTGTTTTCTACATGGCTTAGTATGACACTACAGAATACTGTCTTTATTACACACTACCATGTCTTGTTAGAGCATCCTGTATATCCCCACATGTAAGGAAGTGGCCTGTGACCTACAAGACAATTAATTCTACAACGAATCTGAATAGCAGGACATATTCCATTAAGAACTAAATGGTACAACATGGCAGTAATTCAAAAAGTGGCTTAAAATTTTGGAGAGTCAACAAATAACACTTTCTTTTAGACTAGCAAAAATAAGAATCATTAGATGCCATTTCAGAGAACATTAAAATAATGCAATACTACATCTTAGTGAAGATGTATTCAGAGAAAAAAGACATTGAATGTTATTCACTGCATAAATTATTTTTGCAAACTATTTTTTCTCTAAAAACATCTCCGTAGCAAAACAGTCTTCACCATCTGTGTTATTACCAATAAAAAGTCCAAAGCTGTCAGAAGCTGCGCATCCAGACTTTATAGTCCACCAAGGCACAAGGCTTTCGCCTAAAGCAACATATAGAATTATGCAGAACTGGAACACTGAACAGTGAAATGTGTCTGTAGTAATTCATTATACTCCCAAGATAAAGCCTTTTGAAATGAATTGCAATGATTTCAAACACTAATAAATATCTCATATGTGCTAACAAGTATTTCACATAAAAATTTAAGAAATGAAGTAAACAAAGTGTGGGTATATACCATATCAGAAAAGACTTTGTTTCCTTGTATTAAAGTGTCTCTACTACCTGTGTGCAAGCAACTCCTGAAAGAATAGTAACTTCTGAGTGTAGCAGTTTCAAATTCTTTTTAATTTGCTACTATATCTTACCCATCGTCCCTTGAGTACTGTCTGAAGTACTGGTTCTGGAGTTGGTAACGGAGCTTGTCTATAACCCAAAAAAATATAAAACTCTTGAATGAAAGACGTCAAGTACAGACCATATATGAAAGTTTTACCTGGCATCTATTAGCCTGAGTTGTCAGCATAATTAAAGTATACATAACATAATGGGGAGCAGGGGCGGGCAGGCGGTATGCTGATCTTTCAGTGCAAGTGCTGTCCTTCGGTCCTTTCAAACTCTGTCTTACATAGTGAACTGAGGTCAGTCTTAATCACCAATATAAAACTCTAGAGAGAAGCTTCCTAGCTCCTCTCCTCTGTGTACTTATCTCCTCTTGGGTGAAATGGAAAGCCTTCATTCTTTCTTATCCAATCTCCTGGATGCTGCAAAGATGTGGAAGAAAACAGTCCACTTGACATTGCCTCTCTTCTGTCCTCTTTTTGAAATTATTTCTTACATTGAAATTTCAAGTTCTGTTTCTGCTGTTGCTTACTGCTTCCCTAATCAGCTAGATTATATTGATACAATTCTTTAAAAACTTATCTGTTCCAAATGGTCTAAATACCAGGAATGAAGTGGTCAGTAGGTTTGAAATATTGCAAGCAATAAAGACCTGATGTTGTACCTCTAGATTCAGAAATAATATTGGGGTTTTTTTTTAACACAGTGGCTTTTTAAAAAGCAGAAGGACAACCTGGTCTTGAAGAACTGAAATTCTAATGTTACAAGAGGTTTCAATACAGATTTCAAATAACTGCAAAAGAATAATATTACAATAACCAAGACATTCTGACAAACATCTTAAAGTTGCAGATAACATCGGTATAAATGATTGAAAACTGACTGCCTCTTGATGGAGACCATTTTGCGATTTAAAAAAAGTTCAACTGAGATATAAACTCAGTAAGGCGGCATTTTAGGAACACAGCAGCTCCCACTGCATAAAGAGAAGTTCAAAAGTAAAAATAAAAATCAAATCACTGTAGCTCTCAAACTTCTCAATTCTCTGATTTTAAAAGGAAACATACTAGCTTTTATGCTTTGTTCTTTTCTTATGTATAGCAGTTATTGATATTTTTCTCAATTTCACACAGTTTTGGCATATATTTTCAACTTCACTACATTCTTAAACACTCTTTAAGGATATTGTTATCCATCCTTTAAGGATACAGCAAAGATGTATGTCTTTCACATGTGAAGCCTGGGTGGAATTATTTCATTAATCTCACCTCTCCTGACATTCATTTTTTCTTTTGCTTTCCAGGTTGCAAAGCAAGAGAGAGTTCTGCAACACTTCCGAAAATCATGTTAAACATTCTGAGATGAAGTGACAGATGGATGCATGCCTCTTCTGCAACTCACAGTTGTGACCATTATAGTTAGTTATTTTCTTCTTGATCTATTTTCTTCAAAACTTCAGTAACACTGCATGGGCAAACCTAATAAGGAAAGGTTCAGGGCAGGAGTGCCAACTTCAAGAATGGGAAGGGGAAAAAGAGTTAAAATTGCTTTAGAAGTTTATTATCCAATTGGCTTTTGGCAGCTTAATAAAAGTTATCTTGTTATCTACAGCCTGTTTATGAAGTTGAGGTGATTCTTCTGTAAAATAGGAGCATTTTT